GTGTATTTTGATCTGCATTCAAACTCCATAGTTCTTTCTTTGGGTGTGGATAGCATTTTCCATCATGAAACTCATGATGTCTTAGACCCTTGCATTGCTGAGAAGGACTAAGTCTATCAATGTTAGTCATCACACAATGTGGCTGTTACAAGTGGCCTCAGACACTTGACATTTACTAGCTGTGGGACCTGGGCAAGTCACTTCACCCCACTGCCTGGAAAAAAAAATCATTACTAAATATATTCTCCAATGTTACATATGAGTATGTTCTTTGGCTTCAATTGACTTAAAAAAACATGGATTGTGCTTTGGTCCAAGGTTTCCTGGAATTGCAAATACAGAACAATGAATTTTTGCAGCAATTAGAATAAATAGGTCAGAAACTTTCCTCACATCTAAAATACTTTAGAGGTGGATAGGAGCGAGAGGTTAAGGAGATTCTTGCCAAGATTTGGGAGAAAAACTGACATGATATTCCCAGAGTAAAATTATGTATGTATACACACCTATGTGTGTGTGTGAGCCCCATTAATTGCTAAGTGTGGCTTATATAAATGTAGAGTGGTAAAGGGTTTCTTGTTGTTTGAGGATACATTGAGCTCAAAACTTCCCAAATACAAATTCATATCTAAACTTGCCCTTAATACAGTTACATTTAAATTCCAGGGCCCCCAGCATTATTTTCCAAAGTAGGGCCCTTTCAATCCATTACCCATCACCTGAGACCTGTCAACCTCCTGAATATTAGTCAATAAACTGTCCCTTCCCTTAACCATGACTGCATTATGAGATGCTTGAATTCTTAAGACCTTAACTGGTTGGTAGTTTCGATTTTCCATGGCAAGACTCACGAAGAGAGAAGTTGGACAGTAGAAGGTGTCTAAAGGGGTGAGGTTTTCAGATTTAATTCCCATATGGTACCAATAGCTTTCATTCAAAGGCAATGAGGTTACAACTATTGCATATCAGCCTCATTGCCTTGTCTCTCCCTAGTAATCTGAATTACTTGGTGTACACCAGTCCCCAAATCTCCCTGTCCTCAGATGTCTGAGTCTCTTTTTCTTAATGATGTACCAAGCAGTGCTATGGAAAGAGCTTCTGGGCTTAAACATTTGCAGTGATATGTACTTGTTGAGAAACCTTAAGCAAATTATTTAAATTTTTGATCATCTTCTATATAGAGGGAACATTTGTACTACTTGTCTCACAGGGTTGTTGGCAAGGTTCAGATGTTTGAATCCACAAAACACTGCAAGTGAACAATTATTTTTGTCTATAAAGTTTTAAGGAAGCTGGGTGGCACAGTAGTGGATAGAGCACCAGGACTAGAGTCAGAAAGACTTGAGCTCAAATTTAGCCTCAGATACACTTACTAGCTGTGCGACTCAGTGCAAGTCACGTCACCCTGTTTGCCTCAAATTCCTCATTTGTAAGATGAGCTACAGAAGAAAGTGGTAAACCACTCCAGCATTTTGTCAAGAAAACCCCAAACAGGGTCACAGAGAATCAGACACAACTGAAATGACCTAACAACAAAAAAGTTTTAATGACCTTTCTTTTATCTATGTCTGATCTAATTATTGTCCAACAAAGCATTTACAATTAACTTTTGATTCAACCTTTCAGATTATTACTGATAGTAAAGCTAAAACTTCTCCACCTTCCATCTGTCCTTGATAGGTTGATAAGTTTCTGGTGGTTGGCACAACGTGTAAGACATTGAACTGGAGAATCCTGAATATTCCTGCATTTATTTCATGGTAGTTTGTGTCATTTTGAGGTGCCCACCTCAATAGACACCCAAATCAATGAAACAAGTAGCATATGTTCTATTCCAGGCATTGTGGCAAGACTTGGGGATACATAGACTGAAAACAAAACAAAACAAAAACAAACAAAAAAATAAAACAACTCCATGGCCTTTCAAGAAGACAACATTCTATTGCTGAAACATCTTCAAATATTTATAATGAAAGAAAAGTCACTTCAGAATGGTTTAAGAACTTCAGTATGAAACTAAAAGTCATTTGAGTCACATGACAACACAAATGCTTTTGGGTAATTTGTGTCGGAGTCAAAACTTTTGTTCACAAAAATAGGTGTCATCTAGATAGTACCTAGAGACCCTTTTAGGTGGAGCATATAAAACAATCTCCTATCTGTTCTTTCCCAGTGCTCCAAATCACGCTTGCTAGCTCTATGCAAATGACTTAACTGTTCTTTACCTGTTTCCCTACCTATAAGAGGAGGAAGACAAGACTGGAATGGACTTTTAAGGTCCTTTCCAAGTCTAATTTTATGATCCTTTAAGCTTCTAGGCCTGGAAATTTCCCTTTTCACCCCCTTGCAGGTTGAAATCCTTTAATTTTCAAGACCCAATTAAGACACCACTGCCTTCCCTCGGATCAATCCTTTGCATTTATCTCCTTCATATTTGGCTATCTGTGTATACACTTTCTCTCCCAACTAAACTGTCAAACCCAAGAAATCAAAGGCTGTCATATGTATTCCATTCAATAAGAATTTAAGTGCCCACTGCATCCTAGGCCCTGGGTTATGTGCTAGATATAACAAAAAATTTTAACAACCCAATGCTCTGATAAAATTTAAAATTCTATAGGGGGAAATAGCCTCATCAGATAGATACAAAGTAACAAAATAAAAGATGAATACAAAGTAACATTCTAGTTGTACTCAGAGACTCAAAAAAGGCCTCTTGCAAGAGGTGGAACTTGAGATGACCCTTGGTGAAAGCCAAGGATTCTAAGATACAAAAGGGGGAGAATTTCAGGTACAGGGCAGTCTGAAAAGCCTGAAGATGGGAAATGAATCATGTAGAGAGCATTAAGTAGGCTGGAGCAGAATATTCAAGGGGCAATAAGTTATAATCAACCCAGATAGTCAGAAACTATAGTATGAAGAGCTTTAAAGGCCAAATAGGAGTTTGTGGTTTACCTTAAACATGGTAGCTGAAACTTCTTGAGCAGGAAAGCAATATGGCCAGAACTTTGAATGGAGCTCTATGGAGGATGGATTGGAGAATCTAGATGATGAATGGACCAGAGACTATTCCAATAGAAAGGTAAAAGGGTTTAAAATAAGGTGGTTTGGGCTTGAGTAGAAAAGAGCAAAAAATCTATACCACGTGCTCAGCTTACTCCCTGGCACACAATGAGCATTTAATAAATGCCCAAAGGGCTATAAAACCACACACCCTTTGACACAGCAGTATCACTTCTAAGGTCTATATCCCCAAAGACATCATAGAAAAAAAGGGAGAACCCACATGTACAAAAATACTTATAGCAGCTTTTTGTGGTGGCCTAAGAATTGGAAATTGAGGGGATGCCCATCAATTGGGGAATGGCTGAACAAGTTGTGGTATATAAATGTAATGGCATACTATTGTAGTATATGAAATGATGAGCAGGCAGACCAGAAAAACGTGGAAAGACTTGTATGGTCTGATACCGAGTGAAGTGAGCAGAACCAGTCCACAGTAACAGCCAACATTGTGCTAGGATCAACTTTGACAGACTTAGCTCCTCTCAGACAGGCAACTCCAAAAGACTTATGATGGAAAATACTATCCACATCCAGAGAAAGACCTTTGGAATCTGAATGTAGATGAAACCATACTTCTTGCTCTTTTCTTTTGTTGCTTTGTTTAGTTTCTTCCTTCTTGTGGTTCTTCCCATTAGTTCTAATTCTTATTTACATCATGACTAATGTGAAAACATTAAGAATGGATAAGTAAAGTCTATGTCAGATTGCATGTTGTCTTGCTTTAAAACTCTTAGGTTAGCAAATGTTGAAAACTAAGAATTATAAAAAGAAAGTTTCACCCTGAAACTTTCACAACCCTAAAACACAAGAGCACCCATCTGACAGGAAAGATTCTAGAACATATCAAAATTTTAAGAGGCAGTTCCAAGTTGATGAAGCTACATGTGAAAGTCCTTTTTTTCTGAAACTATGGTAAAGCCATACTCATTTCCTCTAACATCTGCTAGTGCCTCAATCCTAAACTAGCTGGCTGCCAAAGATACTTTGCAATGTCTTAAAATTAGGTAGGTTTCAATTGAAGGAAAAACCACAATGAATACAAATAGCAGAGGCTAAAAACTTCAAATTAAGTCAGCAGGGGAAAAAGGACAGCAACATTGAATCAAGATTCATTTTAATTTCTGAAGATACTGATATTAATAATCCATTTTAATTATACCATCCCGATACAAGTAACATTTCTTGTACCATATTAAATTGTCAATGTTTTATAACTAATCCCTAGTTAAGGTGAAACATCAAAAACAGTAAACATCCAATCATCAAAAACTAACGGCCGACACCTAACAAAATGCTAGTCACTAGTAAAATACAAAAAAGCTTTCAGAGTTCACAAATGTTATTTAACAGCAATATAAGTGATTCAAGTAGAATGCTGTTTTAAAGTTATTCCAACAACAAGCATGGGTGCATGTTGTACTTTGTAATTGTTTGCTTTGAATCTTTACTTTGTAAAATCACTAACATTTTATCACTAGACAATTATGGGGTTGCTGATTAAATTGGCATTTAAATATTAAAACAGGGAAAATAAAAGCAATAATCCCATATACTGCTTCGTCAAAATAAGTCCTTAATTTAAGTGAGTCATCCACTCATCCTCCACTAGTTTTTGCATTTTTAAAAGAGTAGTTTTCCTTAAGGGTTATCATTGTTTATAAGCCTGAACTTTTGTTTTCCTTAACATTCTTAGAATGTCTACTCCTGAACATTTTGATCTTTAAGGCACTACACAATGAAGTTCCCTTTAAAACAAATTAACAGAAGTGATTTAGGGATGGCTAAGATCTTTTAAATTCTCTTTTCTACTTTGGTTTATAAAGTAGTGGTAATTTGCTATTTAAGGGCCTAAAGCAAATTACATTCAAGTACATTTTCCTAAAAATCCAATGTTTGTAATAGTAATAGTAATTCTTTAAAAAAAAAAAAAGGAATCATGTCAAAAAATTCAGGTGTTTATTTAGAAAGTAGAAAAGTACATGGGATTCAAGGGGGAAGATTTAAAGAAAATTTTAACCTACAAACCTCCCAAATCCTTTTTCAAGTTACAAGTATTAGTAAGATGGGCATTAACATTGTAATTATACAATTACAGCAGAGCTTACACATGCTTAACATACATAATTACATTTAAAATAAGTTAAATAACTTTAAAAATATGTTCTATAATTTAATTGGCCTTTAAATGTTTTCCCTTTGGGAAACATCAGCTGAACTTAGGCTTTTTCTATCCAAGTGGTTAATTCTGAGTATTCCCCCCCCCTCCGCCCCCCCTTTAATGAGTTACTTTAAAAACTAGAGTTGTTGCAATGTTCAAAAGTTGTTTTTCTGAAGTGGAATCCAATAATCTTTGCATATCTATTATTGTTCAGAGTTAATGGTAGTGCAGGGAAAGGACTGGATACTTCACTATAAATATAAACTGGAAATATTATGAAGAGAAAGAAATCAAAGTTTAAGGAATAAAAGAAGGTTCAAATAATTTTGAATACAAACAATACCATCTATAATGAAACAGAAAAACATGGAAATTTGAGAGCTATAGTTCTGAACTATTTAAAATTCAAAAACCCTTAGAATTCAGGGCATGAAAATAAATATAAAATGGAAAACAGTGCAACAATGACCCTAATCAGAAACTTCCTTTTAATAAATAATCCCAAATAAAATGAAGTTTCACAAAATCTCATCTTTAACAAAATATATTACGCTACACATGTCAAAACACAAATTCTACCGTTTCTTCCTTTTAGGGCATTAGACTGCCAAAGCTTCACACAATGCACATTTTATTTCTCCATGGCATCCAGGTCTAACAGCAGTTAGTTGGAAGTGAGAAGTATTACAGAGAATCTGTAGCCACTAGAATGACCTCTAGTCTCATCTGCAGTAAATGACTTAGAGCTAAACCAGTCAGTTTTTACTTATAAACATATATTTCCATCATAAAAAAAACCTTAAGATCCTGTTATGCTCTCTGCTTTTACTGTAGTGTGTTTCATGAAGCTTTTGTATAGTTCAACATTAAAAAAATCTTGATTTTTAAAAGAATCTTTTTGGTACTGCTACATGATGGGTTTAATGTAACATTAAGCATAAAATGGCAACTACTTTGTATTGTATAAACTAATTCACAACTATCGGAAAAATTCTTAATCTAAGCAAATACAAGGCTGCAGCAATGATAAAGAGTACTGGAATACAAGGGAAAAAATAAACAAGTAAATAAAATGACTTTTGATCAGTGGCCATTCATTATTTTGCTTTCTGGCATATGGAAGAAATTATCTTCTTTGAGTTTCAAATGTTCTGGTAAATCCAGCTGTCGCTTAGCTTCTTCAATATCATCCTGAATTGCTGAAATAAGGGCATCTGTGAGGGCAGGAGATAAAAAGAATGTAAGCCATATACTTTGAAACAATCTGTATAAATTCACCACAGAATGAAAAATTTATGAAGAAACGATCATGATTTTGTTATAAATTTACATTCCTTGATTTGTCAGTAAGATTTAATTTACTTTAAAAACAAATTTGAGATGAGATTACCCTTGATCCTACTGCCACCACCAACACAAGCCCTAATCACATTATCCTTGTATTAATGAATATATCTTTCATATAGTGAAAAAAGATTCAGGAAGCATCTGGAATCAGGACCTGGGGCTTTAGTTCCAACTTTGCCACTTACTAGTAACATGAACTTGGGAAAATCATTTAACCTCTAAAAGGCTGTTTTCTCATCTATAAAATGGGGACAATACTTACAAATGTTAGTTTTGTGTACTACTATAGTTGTCTTCTAACTGTTCTCCTAAGTCTTGATTCATATTGTGTAGAATATATATATATATATATATATATATATATATATATATATAAAATGGCCATTTTTCTTCTTCAGAATCAACTGTGGCTCACGTGCAAATGCAAGTAGCCACTGGAGTAGGTCTTTTGTTGTGTAATTAAATGATGTAAAATAACCATGTTATATGGTTATTCTCTTGATGTACCAAATATTGTTAAAGTATTAACTAATAGGCATCAAATTGTCTCTAACTTGTTATTTTATAAAAAGAAATCTAAGAGTAAGATCTTATTACTTCATTCTTATGAAGGAATTCCTCTTAAGAGGAATAAAATGAAATTAATATTTAAGAAAAACTTACCAATTGAACTAAAGTTTCTCTCTGGTCTGATGTAGCCAGTGATGACTATACTAAGGATTTCCCCATAGAAGTCCTCTTTGAAGGTATGTATAATGTGAGTTTCCTATAAAGTAAAAATATTAGAGATCATTAATCCTAAAAGGGCAATAGAATCTGTACTTTGTGAACATAATTTAAATTGATTAAAATTTGAGTCTCTTCCTCCCACTCCATAACACTAAAAAAAAATAAAAGAAAACCCTAGAAATAAGTTATGTATAGTTAAAAAAAAAACCTGCTTTGGCAACGTCCAAAAATTGTCTCATTCTGTACCACAAGTTCCTAACTTCTTTGTTAGGAGATTGTAGGTATACTTTAACACTGGTCCCATGAAATGATGTTAGGCATTTGCACTGATCAGTTCTTAAGCCTTCCAAAGTTGTTTGGTTTTACATTCTTATGGTACAAAATATTATGGTATAAATATTCCACTGCATTCCCTTACTAAAATTTGTTCAACCATTTCCCTAACTTACAGGCACCCTCTTAAATTTCTAATTTTTTTTACTACTACAAAAAAGCAATCTTTGATTTCTTTGGGGTATCGATTTAGAAGCAGTATTACTGGGTCATACGCACAGAATTTAATTTAGGGGGCACAGTTCCAAACTGCTTTCCAGAAGGGCTGTACCAATTCACAGCTCTACCAAAATCAATGTGTCTTCCTGCAGCCCCTCCAGTACACCATTTTCCTCTTTTGTCAACTTTACCAATCTGATGAGTGCAAAGTAAAGCTCCAGTTACAATAATTTGAATCTAATTAATGGTGACTTGGAGTATTTTTTTGATGCAAGCTATCGATAGCTTGAATTTCATTCTTTAAAAACTGAAAAGTATCTCTGCCTATGAACCCTATAATAAATGTCTTCTGGGGGAAAATGAAAAATACTTAAATTTCCCTCCCAAGCCTTCTATATTATTCTCAGTAAAATACTTATTTCCTTAACAATATTAGAAACATGAAACCTTAGGAAAATATTAGATGAATAAGGAAACTGGCTTTCCTCCTTTTTTTTATGCAAACAAGATATTCAGAAATATACAGTGTAATAAAATGAAAATAAAATCCTTACCACAGATTTTTTAGTATTCTTGTAGTATGGGTTCCATCCTATGCTTAAAACCATCTTATGGACATCTCCATTTCCAACAGAGGCCCAACCATAGTAAATTCCGGTAGAGAAATCACATGGAAGATTATCTACTACTTGCTCTGGAAAGTTAGCTGAAAAATAAAACCATGATTTGAATGTTAATTTGGGAAGAGTTCTACATTAAATATTCATACCAGCCTTGCAAATACAAAGAAAAAGACAGACAACCAATATTGATGTGATTGCACAGTGCCTGGCACATAGTAGGCACTGTCAATGCTCATTCCCTCCCCTCTTCCTTCCTTTAGATTGTTAATTATCACAGATAGATGCCAAGTAATTCCTACAAACAGGTCAGAGGCAGACTGTTTCTGTTATTAGAGGGATCAACAGAACAGGTCCACTCTACTACCTGTTTTTGAAAAGCCCTTATGTCTTTCCACACACAAAAGCAGCAGTGCTCAGTACTTTTCCATTTCTCTTTGGCCCTGGCAAAGATGTGCTGGTCTTCCCCAGCCATGAATTTACTTCTTTTAGAAATACAACTTCCAAGTTATCTGACTTATCATTGCTAGTAGATCTTAAAGCAGGCATTAGGGAATTTCTAGAAAAGGAGTTAGATCCCCTTCCAAATCATTGCTAGCCCTCCCCCACTTCCAGATCTCAGGGCTCCTCCTAACTTGATGTGTCAGTTATCCAAACTTGAGTTGGTGGGTATTCAACCTCACCCCCCAGTTACATTAACAATCTAAAATAGGTCCTCTTAGCTCTATTCTACTACATTCTTTAGCATAATCTTTCAAAGAAGGCTAACTTTCATTTATAATATTATTGCTATGACACTAACTACAATGCTCTCTTTCATTAGAGCTGTGTTTTCAGGAACTAATCAATAAGAGAATTTGAGCTATCAGGATTTTAAGACTATTCCACCAATCAAGATTTCAAGCTGTCACAGAAAGTTTACATTCCACTATAACAATGTTGCTACAGACAAAACAGCTCTTCCTTCTTCCAATTATCCTTAGTTCCCCCCAAATTCTGTTCCAACTCAAGTCAATTTTCTATGGCCAACCTGGTGTTGAACTTCTGTCCAACCTTAGAGAAGCCAAGGGTCAATTTTACAACATGATGAATATAAGTTACTTGATAGCCAGGCCTTTTTATTTTTACTTTGTATACCCAGTATCTCAAACACCCTTAATAAATATTTAATAAGAAAGGACTTCAGTGGACTGCAAAGATTAGCATTAAAATTAAGTTAATCATGGGAGAGTCATGCATGAAAGATTTAGAAGCATTTTTGGTTGTTAAAGTCGTAGCTGAATGTACCACGTGTAATGAATTCCTCCAATAATAAATTATTGTCTAATTGTAGAAGTTTTGATATTTAAAAATGAGTTTCAGTTTGTTTTGACTATTCTCTATGACTTCTCCTTTGTATATCAAGCTAAAAACTACTAAAAATTCTATGAAGCTTACTGTGCTGAAGAAATTACTTTCACTAGTGTTTTTTCCTTGTTTCATAAATATTAATGAACAAGACATGTTCCTGTATTAACTGGATCTCTAGTTATTAATGTTTATATTCATAGTAAATGTGTTGTTTCATTTGATGTGAAAGAAGAAATAAATCTTACATTATAGATTTAGGTACTCTACTTCAAAAGTTACATTTACTAAGCCTACAGCTTCACAGCTAGCAGTAATGCAATCTAGTGATTTAAAGTTAGATGACTTTTAAATTACTCTATTAAGCAGGCCAAAGGTGATTTCTGGTAAACCATGGAAGTTCTGCGAGTTCTTATTAATCCTCAAGCTTAGTGTAACTAAATCAGCTCTTTTACAGACCTGAATTTCTTGCAGTTGTGGATGTAAAAGCTGTAGGGTAAACTGGCAGAGTAGGTGACCTACCAAGAGAGTAATCTTCCCATTTATTGCTCCTCTGGCTCACTTTCCTTGAGAAATAGAAAAATCTAAGGGTAGAACATTCCATGTTTCAAGTCTGAAGACTTGGGTTCACACAGTGCCACAACTTATTAACTGTGTAACCATGGCCAAATCACCTAACTTCTTAAGTTTCCTCATCAGTAAAATGGGAATAAATTTCCTTCCTCACTGGGTTGTTATGAGAATCTAAGGAAACAACATACTTGAAGTGCTCTGAAGATCTTCAAGTGCTCTATCAAGGCCAGGTATTATTCCTGCTCCTGTCTACTTAAAGTTGACCATAATATAAAATTTAAATATTTAAAATGGTAAGTTATAATTACTCAATATTTTTGAATGGTCTCAATGACATACTACTAAGTCAATGGTCCTTAACATAATGCGATTTTGAAAAACCAGACCCACAATCCAAGACAACAAGCAAAAACTGGCTAATTTTAAGATGACCTCGGGGCCAACGAGATTTTCCAACTACGGCTCACCAAGGTGAAGCTAATCTTCACCCTACAAGTGTGCAAGGTGTTTGTGAAGGTGTGTGGGTGTGGGAGGGTGGGGAAGTTACAAAGACCAAAGATTATCTCACTTGTAGAGATATTTGTTTAGAGGCCAGCCCAACCCGTTCATCAGATCCATTACCACCGAACGTAAAGGGTAACGGGGTAAAGACCCCCCAAAAGCCTGGCAGAAAGTAACAGCAGCGTGCTTGCCTCCCACAGGCAGGGCCGGGCTTTAACTTACCCGCCCTGGCAAGCACGGGCTAGTCTCGGTCAGTTTCTAACGCCCTTCCTCCGGGAAAGCGCCCGGTTTCCGTGACGCTCCGGTCAATGAGTCAGGTCAAGCCAGGGCCACGGCTGGGGGCGGGGGGGAGGCGGGTACAGCCCCCGGACCTTAAAACCCCCGACGGCTCGGAAAGACCTAGCTCCGACCGCCGATTCCTGATGCTCTAGGGCTCAGGTTCCCTGTTAGAGTGACAGGATGAGGCGGAGACGAGAGGAGGGTTCGGGCCAGTCAGTCCTTGATCCCACAAACCGGCCGGTCGGGGCCGTGAGGGATGCGCGCGCAGGGGGAGGCTCGCTCGGTGGCGGGGGGATTCCTAACCGTCTCGCCGCCCCCCATCCCAAGCGCTTACCTGTGGGGATGCCGAGCTGCTTGGAGCCGCGTCCGAAGCCCCTCACCACTTTACCCCGGCAGAAATAAGGCAGGTGTTTCATCCTGCCGCCGGCTCCGGGCTCGGGAGACGGCCCGGGCGAAGAGTCCGGAGGAGCCGCCGTGGAACTCAGGGCAACGGTCCCCCCGGGCCAGCCGGGAGCTGGGGGGAGGGGGGAAGGAGGAGGGGGAGGGCGGGAGAACCCTGAGGGCGCGAGGCGGGAGGGCGAGCAGGGGCGCGTGCGCGGCGCGAGCCCCGCCGCCAGCGGCCCCCACCCGAACGCCGCAGGACAAGGGCGCGCGACAGAACCTCCGCACGCCACTGACCCAACAGAAGCCGCAATAGCTCACCGAAGCCGGCTGAAGCGGAAATCTATGAGGGAGGAGGGCGGAGAAGAAACGGAGGGCGGGGAGGGGAGGGAGGAAGAGCGGGAAGGCGCGTTCCCATTGGGCAGCCCGCATGGCTGCCGGTTTCTCCAGGCGGGTCTCCGCTCGCTTTTTTTTCTTTACATAATGCTCTCCTCCGCCTCCCCTCCGCCTTCTTTTCTAATGGACTAGCCCAGCCGGGGCTCGGCGCATGCGCAAAGGCCCGTCCTCGCGCCCCTGCGGGTCAGAACCAGAACGAGAAGTAGCTGGTTCTAGAACCGTCGTCCTTGATTTCGTATATGTTCGCTGTTGATTATGAGGGCTGGATATTCAAATTCAGGCTTTGGAAAAACTGGTCCAAATGGTCAGTTCACCCAGCATGGCCTCCAGATGCGGCTGCTCTCCCTGCAGTGTTGGCCTAGCCTCACTTATTTCTGTGGCGATCGTGCCCATTGACCGGAGCTGATCCCACGTGCGAACACCAGGAAGTCCTTTCAGCACCCCCTCACCCTCCGCGGCTCTAGGGTCTGGCCGAAGGGTCACTAGAAGTCAGCCAGCCCATCGGTACAACTTCATATCACTCCAGGCAGAGCAGAGGCTGGCGCAGGTAGTGTCACGTGGGGGCAGAAAATTGTATTTGAACTGGAGCTGGTCCAATTTTTGGAAAATATGTGAGGTTTGAGTTAGAGCAGGCAGGCATTTGTAGGGCTCCCAAAATGGATCCAAAATAGAAAAGCAAACATTGGTAAAGAGCATTGTGGTAGATGTCAGAGTAGATTAAAAAGAAAAAGTTTAGCCAACAAGCAGTCACTAGCATGAACAAATTCACGGGCTAGTGGAGGGAAACATAATCCCAAATGAGAGATAGGTACCAGAATCTGAGATTAGTGCATTAGAGAACTACTCGCAGTACCCTATGAATCGACTCACCTCGTGCACTGAAAACAGCACAACAAAAGGGAACAACTAGAGAGAACAAAGGCAAAGATGCTTGAGCATGAATGAAGTGTGCCAGATATTAAGGGTATAGGATGCCTAGAGTAAAGTAATTTGAGATAAGACTGGAAAAGTAGGATCATGCCAGGTTATTGGGAGGGGGAGAGGGGAAGGGCTTAAATACCATGCAGAGGAGTTTAAATTATACACCAGAGCCACTAGAAATTATTTTGTTAGTAATTTGGTTGGCTGAAAAAGGTAAAGGTGCGAAAGAATTGAATTGTTAGGTTATTACCGTGTGGTCCAGGTGAGTGATACAATGAGAACAGTGTATTGGGGGAGTAGCAGTAGGAATAGAAAGAAGATCATGGATTTGAGAGATATTGTAGAGAGAAATTAAAAGGTAGAGAAATGTAGAAGTAAGGTAATTTATATAAAAATGTAGAGGTAATAGTCAGAGATAACCCAAGGCTAAAATTATGGGAGACCAGTAAACAGTGGTGCCCCAGATAGAAATTCTGAAGTCAAGAGCTGGAGAGAGGAAAACATGAACCCAGTTTTAACATTGAATTTCAGTTGCCAGTAGGGATACCCAGATAGAAGTGAGGTCAAGGCTGGAGAATAACAGATTTGGGAATCATCTGCATAGACAGTGGTTGAAGCTGTGTTTGCCAAGGGAAAAATGTTTTAAGAAAAGTGGGAGAGATTCAAGCCGATCTTTGAGGGAGCACCCTGATGCAAAATTTTTCGTGGTGCTTGCTGCTGTTTGTCCTTCGTTCTTGAAGAGCACCAGGACACCAGGAAGGTGATGCCATGACATGCAAGTGAATTGGATTTAAGTGAGGGAAGGCTGTGCAAAGTCACCAGCCTCAGTTTCTCCTCCAGAGCCATTTGGGTCCAGTGGCCAGATATCGATCAGGATAACTGGAGATGGCCCAAGATGCAGTGGAGAATGTTGGTCCTTTTGAGCTAATGTCTTTAACAGGTCTCAGTTTCTGGTCCTTACTAGCCACTGCATGAATAACTCAGCAAGGGCTACAAACAGGTAGGTACACTGCAGTTTATCTACTCAAAGACTATGACACTCTAGATGATGTTTATATGTGTCTTAAAATTCCACATCTATGTACTCTCTCATCCTGAGCTGTGTGACCCAGGGTTTGGGTAAGATAAGGTAAGGCCCATTTTTATTAAGTCATGTCCAACTGTTTTTGACCCCATGAACCATAGCATGCCATGCCCTTGTATTCCCCAAGGGCAGGCTAACAAAGCAGTTTTGGGAAAGATCTGATAAGTCAAGGGTGAATTTAAAAGATAGTTTCTTTTTCTTTCTTTTATTTTTGTTATTCTCAGAACATTTGCATTTTTAATTTTATTACATAGTTTCTTTTTAAAATTAATTTATTTTGATTTATCAACAATCAATTCCATAGGCTTTTGAGTTTTCTCCCTCTCCCCAAGACTGGCTCCCAATCTGATATAAGCTATACATATACATTCCTATTAAACATATTTTCACATTAGTGATATTGTAAGTAAGAATTAGAACCAATAGGAGTAACCACCAGAAAGAGGAAACAAAACACAAGAGAAGAAAAATAAATAGCAAGTAGTATGCTTCTATCTGCATTTAAACTCCATAGTTCTTTCTTTGGATGTGTATGGTATTTTCCATCGTGAGGCCTGTGGAGATGTCTTAAATCCTTGTATTGCTGAGAAGGGTTAAGTCTACCAATATTAGTACCTAACTGATTTTGTTATTTCCTTCTAGAGCCAAATCTGATAAGAGTAAGGTTCAAACAATGCTCATCTCCCTCTCTTCTTTCCCTCTGCTGTAATTGGTTTTTGTGCTTTTTACTATAATGTAATTTACTCTTGTCTGCCTCTTCCTTTCCTTTTCTTTCTGTACAATTTTCTTAATTGGATCAGATTAATCCACTTACTTGGATCCATTTAACCCACTTGATTAGATTTTTTTTTAATCATTACATCAAAGTCAACTTATACCTACCCCCTTTATATATACCCTTTAACATGGTATAATAACTATACCGTTCTCGAGGGTTAGAAGTGTCATCTTCCTTTGTAGGGATATAAACAGTTTACCCTTATTAATAACATGTTTTTTCTCTTTCTGTCCCATTAACATTATTATATCTCTCTTGAGTCTTGTATTTAAAGATCAAATTTTCTGTTGAGTTGTGGTCTTTTTATCAGGAAGGTTTGGAAGTCCCCAATTTTGTTGAATATCCATTTCCTCCCCTGAAAGATTGTCCTCATTTTAGCTGGGTTAAAAGATGCATTTTCAAAGAAGAAAAAGGGTGCTTAAACTATTACGATAGCCTATAGCATAGCTATTCACACCAGACCAAAGAAAACTGTCTCTCCTTTATCAGTCAATTAACATTTAGTTGGCTCCTACTTAGTACTTTGTTGGGAGAAAGAAAAGTAGGTGAGTTTCTAGAAATTCAATTTACATTTTTAATTGTATGTGTTTAGAATACAAAAGAAAAATAGAATTCAAACTGTTCAGTAGTTTGAATAGAATTGTTCAAAATCCTAGTGGGTTGTTTTTTGTTGTTGTTGTTGTTTTGGTAGATATAAAGTGATTGGGGGAATATCTGAGACATTCAGTATATTTATATAATAAGAGCAAATTTAGCATGGAATGGGGTTAGTTTCTCCCAAAAATCTACTTTTCAACAATTCTCCCTTTGGCCCTGGATTAAAATTTTTTAAATCACTGGGCCTTCTAAAGATTCACAGTACTAGAAGACAGTTATTTGTACAGACCATGATCAGTTTGACCAGGAATAGGAAAAAAATAAATGAAGAAGTCTGAATAAAACTTCTTAACACGATTGGGGGGGCCATAATCATTTCCAAAACTCATAGCCATCTTATACAACTTTCAGACCTATTGATTTAAACATTTGTAACTATTTGGCAAAATTATCCACATTCAGAGGAAGGGAACCCAGACCTCGAGAGTAGGCTCTTAAAGACACCTAAGGTGCACCCAGTCACAAGTTGAGATGTAATAGAACAATTTTACAAGGAATTAACACAGAGAACTTGAATTTAAACTTTGATTTGTGTTCCAAATCTGACACTGAGGTACTTTTCCATTAGAGTCAGGGTTCAGTAACAAATAATAGACAATAAACATAACTATATTTAGAAAGACCAAAAAAACCCCCCAAAAAACCAGGGAACAGGAATATATCTTAATGTCCATTAGGCTTCTTGATCCATTATCTTGGGATTTAGTTTTCTACTATGTGAAATGATCTGCTTCCTTGAAACATTTTCCCTTGGAATTTTTCTTTCAAAGGGATCTGTCCTAGACTGTGGTCTACAAGTTGTCTGGCTTGGTCTACTTATACTCAAAAGACATACATATCTGAATCAACATTTTGGGTCTGAAAGTATCAAGTGTCAGTTATCAACAGTACCTGAATTGAGCTTTCCAGATTTTGTAAAAGAACTACGCAGGAAAAATGAGCATGATTTTTCGGGGGAGGAGATGGATATTCAACAAAATAGGGGACTTCTAAACCTTCCTGAAAAAAAGACCAGAGCTCAATGGAAAATTTGATCTTCAAATACAATACTCAAGAGAGACATAAAAAAGGTAAATGGGACAGAAAGAAACAACAACATGTTATTAATAAGGGCAAACTGTTTACATCCCTACAAGGGAAGATGACACTTGTAACTCTTGAGAACTGTATTGTTATTACACCACGTTAAAGGGGTATACATAGAGGGGGGTGGGTATAAATTGACTTTGATAAAAAAAAATCTTATCAAGTGGGTTAAATGGATCCAAGTAAGTGGATTAATCTGATCTAACTAAGAAAATGTACTGAGAGAAAGGGAAAGGAGGAGATAGACAAAGGTAAATTACTGTATAGGAAAAGGCACAAACACCTATTACAGTAGAGGGAAAGAAGGGAGGGAGATGAGCATTGTTTGAACCTTACTCTCGGATTTGAAAGGGAATAACATAATCAGGTATAGAAATCTAACTTGCCATACACTCAGTAGGAGGGAAAAGGGAAAGAAAAGGGAGGGGGCCGATAGAAGGGAAGCGGGACTGAGGGAGGCAGTGGTCAAAAGCAAAACACTAGTGAGGAGGGAAAGGGAGAAAGGAGAAAGAAATGCATAAGGGGGGGGAATAAGATGGAGAAAAAGACAGTAATAACTGTGAATATGAATAACATGAACTCTCCCCTAAAACTGAAGCAGGTAGCAGAATGGATTAAAAACCATAATCCTGCAATGTGGTGTTTACAGGAAACACATTTGAAACAGACCTATAGATCTTATCAAAAGAGATAAGGAAGGAAAGTACATCCTGCTAAAAGACACCATAGGCAAGGATGTTACTACACATATATGCATCAAATGGTATAGCATCCAAATTCTTAAAGAAGAAGTTCAGGAAGTTACAGGAAGAAATAGCAAAACTATACTAGTGGAGGATCTCAACCTTCCCCTCTCTGAACTAGATAAATCTAACCACAAAATAAACAAGAAGTTAAGGAGGTGAATAGAATAGTAGAAAAGTTAGGTATGATAGACCTCTGGAGAAAATTGAATGGCAATAGAAAGGAATACGCTTTTTTCTTGGCAGTACATGGTACGTACACAAGAACTGACCATGTACTAGGGCATAAAAACCACACAATCCAGTGCAGAGAGGCAGAAATATCAAATGCATCCTTTTCAGATCATGATGCAATAAAAATTATATGTAATAAAGGGCCATGGAAAGATGGACTAAAAAATAATTGAAAACTGAATAATCCCTAAAAAATGAATAGGTCAAACAACAAATCATAGAAACAATAACTTCATTCAAGAGAATGACAGTAATGAGACAACATACCAAAACTTATGGGAAGCAGCAAAAGCAGTTCTTGGGAGAAGTTTTATATCTCTAAATGCTTACGTGAATAAAATAGAAAAAGAGGAGATCAATTGTTAGGGATCTGTAAGGATGTAGAGGGCCACAGACAGTTCACGAGATCTCACTGAAGGGCTGAGGCCCCTCTCGGGTGCTCTTCTGTGTGCAAATTGCCTGGTTCGGTGCTCCATCCTATGCATCTCTAACTTCCCTAGTTGCTCATTAGTCATTAACAGTGTATTTGTGATTGGTAGTAGGTAAGTGCACGGACTGTGCGCATACTGTCCTTGAGCACAGCACGTCATTGTAACTCATGAAAAAGTGCCTGTTATTTTACTATATAAGTAAGTGCTTTGCTAAAAATAAAGAGTTGCTGCCATCCTTTCTCCTGCCTCATCAATGTGTGCTCAGAGTGAAAGATCAAGCTGGTCTTGATTCTTCAGGTGATTGGGAAACCCTAGGTCCTAGGTAGGCTCTGTAGCCAAGTGAAAAGGTCGCGACAAACTGGCGCCCAACATGGGGCATGCACTGCTGCCATCAAGCTGCATTGAACATACGGAGAGTGAGACAGCTGCAGGAAATAGTCGGGATGCGTCTGGACCAAGAAGACGCGACACCCACATCAAGACACCGAGGTCTGTTGGAGCCAGGCAGCCTCTTAGAAAGAGGTCTCCGACTCGTATCCCATTGCAAGATATGGAGTGGTAAGAGAATTTCTTATCATGGGGCAAAATCTAGGTAAACTCTCAGATAAGGAACAGAATGTTCGGGTAATATATAAAGTGATTAAGGAACAGGGGCGCTTGGTAACTCCTAAGAAAATAAGAGAGTTTGTAGACATTATTGATATAACATCTCCATGGCTTCCAAGGGAAGGGAGTTTTGACTTAGAACAATGGAAGATAGTGGGGGAACAATGGACAGAATTTTGTAATAGCAAAGGCCCAAAATCAGTTCCTCTGGGTACTTTCACTATCTGTAATCTTATAAAAATGGGCTTGCAAGCAGATACACAGGGTGAGAAGAGAAAATTCCCTGCCTGTACTCAAACAACTTCCTTGTTGTGCTCACCTAACAATAGTAGAGCAGGCTCTCCTGAGGGAGAGAGCAGACCTAAGACTTATAGGTTATATCCTGACTTAGCTGAATTAAAAATGGAACAGGCAGAGGAATGGCCAGAACCCCTTCCCCCATGGGATGATATTAGCTGCACAAAAAATGAGGAAGTTTTGGGAGCCGTGGGAAAAGAGGAAGCTCCCCCAGTGAGGCATGAGGGAGTTGGTCAGCAGGATAGAAAAAAGGAAGAAAGAAATTCAAGTTTGGCTAGACAGTCATCTAGGGTCAAACATTGTCCTTACAATTAGAACTATCTCCTCTGCAAAAGGCAATTCAGACAAGTAAAGGAGAGGATTTAAAGGAGTTGGGATCCTTACAATTTTATCCAGTTATTGAGGAAAATGATCCAAACAACCCTGGTCAGGTGAGAAGGAGACATGAACCTTTGGATTTGAGTTTGATTAAGGATTTAAAAAAATCTTGCACTCTGGCTATACTTCAGCTTATACACTGTTAAACCTGGAGAGCATTTCATATAGTATATTGACACCTAATGATTGGAAAGCTATTGCAAGGGCTGTGTTAGCACCAGGAGAAGCAGTTTTTCGGCTGGCAGAATTCTCTGAACAATGTAGACAGATGGCACTCCGGATTGCTCCTGGTCAAGCACAGACTATGTCTAAAGTATGTTTTAATTGTGGGAAACAGGGACACTTTAAAAGGGTGTGTTGCTCAAGAGTACAAAAACCACGACAGGGATTTGACCATCCCAATACCCCTTGTCCGAGATGTGGTAAATCAGGTCATTGGGCTTCAGAATGCAGAAATCAGGGAAACAGGAGCAGGGGGCCTCCCTCACGGCCCCCCGAGACAGCAACAGTGGGGAATGATGAGTACGGAAAACAACCCAGAAGATCAGGGAACAAATCAGGGAACAGAATGAAGAAACAAGTATGCTGCCTTGTTAGCCATGAGACCCCCTCCTTCATAGATATAATTATCATCAGAAGTGCTGGCAATTATAAGTTGCCTGCTCATTCCTGTTGTGAAGTACCAATATTTCCTACACCTTTTATAAAACCAGGCCCATTTGCTTTAATCATTTCCCCACCAACTACAATGTATACACAATTCCACACACAGTGGTTTTCGATGACATATTAAAACATGTGCCTATTGTTAACACCAATGATGAGGACGCATTTATAGAAGAAGGCCAATGGGTTGCACAGGGTATAATTTTTCATAGTCACATTGGACAGTCCATGGCAACCCCCTACAACAGGTAATACTGAGGCATTATTTATAACCACTATTTCTCAGGAACGGCCTATGTGCACCATATTCCTTAATGGCTTACCTTTTACAGGGTTGTTAGATACAGGTGCAGATAAAACAGTTATCCCACAACGTTGTTGGCCACCCCATTGGCAGAAACAACTTGCCTATCAACAATTAACAAGTATAGGAGGAAGACAAGAAACAGAAATTTCTTCTCTACCCATCCACTGGGATAAAGAAGATAAGTCAGGGATTATATATCCTTATATAGTCAGTGGTTTGCCTGTTATTCATTGGGGAAGAGATGTATTAACTCAATTAGGTGTGACATTAGCAACAAATTTATAGCCAAGGCTACTGTTGAGGCAGAGTGCACCCCAATAGCACCAATAAAAATGAAATGGAAATCAAATGATCCTATATGGGTGGAACAGTGGCCTCTTAGTAAAGAAAAAATCTCTGCCTTACAAGAAATAGTACAACAACAGTTAAGTAAGGGACATATTGAAGAAAGTACAAGTCCTTGGAATTCTCCGGTTATTTGTTATTAACAAAAAATCAGGCAAATGGAGAATGTTAACAGATTTAAGAAAAGTAAATGACACTTTACAGCCTATAGGAGCTTTACAACCAGGTCTTCCATCACCTAATATGATTCCTAGAGGCTGGCCCTTATGGGTTATTGATATTGCAGATTGTTTTTATTCAATTCCATTACATGAACAAGACAAAGAGAGGTTTGCATTTTCTATTCCTAGTGTAAATGTGCAAGAACCTTATATGAGATATCAATGGAAAGTCCTCCCTCAGGGTATGAAAAATAGTCCCACTATGTGTCAATATTATGTAGCTAAAGTGTTACAGCCAATAAGACAGCAGTTTCCTCAAGCACTTTGCATATATTACATGGATGACATTTTATGTGCTCATCCTAATCCTGAAGTGTTAGAAAAAATTTTACAAAAGACACAAGATGTGTTGCAAAGTCATGGGCTTCTGATAGCTCCAGAAAAGGTTCAGAAATATCCTCCATATCAATATTTAGGTCACCAGATACTTCAAGAAGAAATAGTCCTACATCCTCCAGCAATAGACCTAAAAAAATTGAAAACACTTAATGATTTTCAGAAAATTATAGGAGATATACAGTGGCTTTGATCACAGATTGGCATTCCAAATTATAAATTGATACCCTTGTATGATTGCCTTAAAGGTGATCCTCAATTAGATTCACCCTGGATACTGACCCCTGAGGCGAAGCAAACGTTGTTGTATATTCAGGAACAAGTAGTTGGAGCACACACAAACAGAATTGATAGGCATGAAAGTATGGAGGCGTCTATATTTAATACCCCAAATTCTCCAACAGCAGTGATACATCAAAAAAACAGAAGCTTTTGGAATGGGTATATTTACCATCTCAGCCAAAAAACACTTTAAGTAATTATATGGCTTTGATAGGGGACTTAATACATAAAATTGACAACAGTTGTTTAACGTTATGTGGCACACATCCAGAAGTCGTGTACCTTCCATTTTCTCAACAAATAATTGAAATGGCAATACAAACAATGCCTAACTGGCAAATGAATATCAATTTGAAAACCCCTTAAATATCATGCAATCTTTGAGAACTGGCCTTGGATAAAACCCATGCATACATCAGGTGAACTTGTACCTGGGATCAATGTTTTTACTGATGCCATGAAAATGAGCAAGGCCTCCATCTGGTGCCCTAAAAGAAAGGAATTACATGTGATCAAAACACCTTTTATCTCCACACAACAGAATGAATTATATGCTGTCTATTGTGCATTTAAAAAATATGAGGAGCCAATGAATATCATCACAGATAGTAAATATGTACAAGGAATCCTAAAACACCTAGAGACTGCAATAATAAAAAATACTGGTAATAATATCTGTCAGTTGCTTCATGATATAGAACATTATATACAGAATAGAACAGAAAAATTTTATGTTTTGCATGTTCAGTCCCACACACTTGCTCCAGGACCAATTTTTGAAGGTAATGATTTTGTTGATAAATCTTAAACAATGAATGTGTAAATAGCAAGGAATTGTCATAATAAATTACATTTATCTGCTAGGTCTTTAAGAACTTTATATGGCATAATAAAATCCCAAGCACGTGAAATTGTTAAGCGATGTGCTACTCGTGTGCCTTTTCAGCCCCCTTTCCGTGTTGATGTACATAACCCCAAGGGACTTACACCTAATGCCTTATGGCAAATGGATGTTACTCATTATTCTCCCTTTGGAAGACAAAAGTATGTTCATGTTCCTATTGATACTTATTCAGGCTTTATTTTTGCTACTGCTCAAGCAGGTGAGGCTATTCGCAATGTTATTAATCATTTGCTTCATTGTTTTTCCTTCACTGGCCCACCTCAATGCTTAAAGACTGATAATGGTCCTGCATATATTTCACAGGGTTTTAAAAAGTTTTGTACTGAGTTCTCTTTTAGTCACACTCCTGGCCTTCCCTATAATCCTCGTGGTCAGGCCATAGTTGAGCGTGCCAATCATACCTTGAAAATGGTGCTCCAAAAACAAAAAGGGGGAGCTAATGGATCCCCGTGGCATCAATTAAACACTGCACTCTACATTATAAATTACTTAAAATTCGAGTGTTGCAACCTCTCTCCTGCAATGAAATATCTGGCAGGAAATGACAACAGTAATAGTGAAACCACTAAATCAAACAGATTCCTTTTTCCTGAACACAATATAAAAGTCATGTGGAGATACGTTGATGGTGCCTGGCAGGGCCCAGGGCAGGTACTAACCTGGGAACAAGGGTTTGTTCTTATTTCCACAGGTGATGGAGAACTTTGGGTTAGAATGAAGGATGTCCGCATTATCCATTCAGAAGGGACAAGGCAAGCAGAAGAGAAAACACAGGCCGACCAGGAATAAAAGGAGTTGAAAGAATAAGAAGAAGGCACTACAAGAACTTTTAACCAAACTCTGACTCTTGTTGTTGTCGTCAGCAGTGGTACAGAACACAGCAGCAGCAGAGACAGGAAATACAACAAGATGGGCTTTTGTGACAAAACTGCCATGGCCAAGACTAGTTACATGGGAAGAGACAATACCTGATGTTATTTTACAAGGGGAATGCATCTGCAGGATTGGGGAAGGAATTTAATTTTACACCTCAAAAGAATGGGTCAATTACAGTAAAGTTTAAGTTTCAAAGATTGGTATGAGTCACGTTCTGATCATATTTTTGGAATAATAGACCAAAGAAATCAATTAGCAATTGTTAGGAAGAGGAGATGTATTTCATGTGTAGCATTAGGAATTGTATCGCTTATAGCTATCATAACTGCTTCTGTATCTTTATCTCAATCTGTATCTATTGCAAGAAATGAAATGGTTCAAGCTGATTTTATGAATCAATTAAATTGCAATGTATCAAAGGGTTTTCAAGCACAAAATAGGATGGACAAAGAATTTTACCATATACTTGAGGGAATGAAGGAAACCATTATTGAAATAGGTACCGAATTGGATATTTTAGAATATAGAACACATTTGAAATGTGATTATAGGTATGAATTCATTTGTCTTACCAATGTTAAATACAATGACTCGCAATGGGACTGGCAGAGAATATGTAGACATCTGAATGGGCTATTTGGGAATTCTACTGTTGCGTTGAATATTGATGATTTATATAAAATTGCTGATGATATTGCGAGGGCAGCTGATGAAGATTTGATGCCAGATAAGACTGCCTAACATATACTTGATTGGATAGATAACATCCATGACCCTTTTAGTAACCTTGGACTTTGGCTTATATCTTTATTAAATAGTCTTCTTTGTTGCCATTATGTTTGATATTGCTGGCCATGCTGTGTTTTGAGCCGTGTTTGCTCAGGTGCATAGCTAATCAGATAAAGGACTTTGGGACTGAGCTTCATGTGCTCTGTCTCCGGCAAAAACAAAAAGGGGGAATTGTTAGGGATCTGTAAGGATGTAGAGGGCCACAGACAGTTCACGAGATCTCACTGAAGGGCTGAGGCCCCTCTCGTATGCTCTTCTGTGTGCAAATTGCCTGGTTCGGTGCTCCATCTTATGCATCTCTAACTTCCCTAGTTACTCATTAGTCATTAACAGTATATTTGTGATTGGTAGTAGGTAAGTGCACGGACTGTGCGCGTACTGTCCTTGAGCACAGCACGGGCTATACGTCATTGTAACTCATGAAAAAGTGCCTGTTATTTTACTATATAAGTAAGTGCTTTGCTAAAAATAAACAGAGTTGCTGCCATCCTTTCTCCTGCCTCATCAATGTGTGCTCGAAGTGAAAGATCAAGCTGGTCTTGATTCTTCAGGTGATTGGGAAACCCTAGGTCCTAGGTAGGCTCTGTAGCCAAGTGAAAAGGTCACGACAATGAATGAATTGGGCATACAACTGAAAAAAAAACTAGAAAAAGAACAAATTAAAAATCCTCAATTAAACACTGGTAGGAATACTGAAAACCAAAGGAGAAATTAAGAAGATTGAAATTAAGAAATCTATTAAACTAATAATACTAAGAGCTGGTTTTATGAAAAAAAACCAATAAAATAGATAAACTTTTGGTTAATTTTAAAAAAAAAAGAAGAAAACCAAATTACCAGTATCAAAAATGTAAAGGGTGAATCCACTACCAAGGAAGAGGAAATTAAAACAATAATTAGGGGCTATTTTGCCCAACTGTATGCCAATAAATTTGACAATCTTAGTAAAATGGATGAATATTTACAAAAATATAAATTGCCCAGATCAACAGGAGAGGAAGTAAAATACTTAAATAATTCCATCTCAGAAAAAGAAATTGAACAAGTTATTGATGAACTCTGTAGGAAAAAATCTCCAGAGCCAGATGGATTCACAAGTGAATAGTATCAAACATTTAAAAAACAATTAATTCCAGTACTATATAGACTAGTTGGGAAGGAGTCTTACCAAATACTTTTTATGATACAAATATGGTGCTGATACATACACAAACCGGGAAGAGTCAAAACAGAGAAAAATTACAACCAATTTCCCTAATGAATATAGGTGCAAAAATTTTAAATAAAATATTAGCAAATAGATTACAGCAACTTATCACAAGAATAGTGTACTATGACCAGGTAGGATTTATACCAGGAATGCAGGGCTGGTTCAATATTAGGAAAACTATCAGCATAATTGATCATAACAACAAAACTAACAGAATCCACATGATCATCTCAATAAATGCAGAAAAAGCTTTTGACAAAATATAACACCCATTCCTACTAAAACACTAGAGAGCATAGGAATAAACGGAGTCTTCCTTAAAATAATAAGTAGCATCTACCTAAAACTTTCAGCAAGCATCATATGTAATGGGACAAGCTAGAAGCATAGCTTTAGCAATAAGAGAAGAAAAATAAATTGAAGGTATTAGAATAGGCAAAGAAGAAACAAAGATTTTTCAGAAGTATTTGTTCCAGTAGATTGAATTTTCAAGTTCCAAGCCACTTGTGGAGGTTTCCTAGGTAATGTTTAAACTTGCTAGTAGAAAGACTTAGAAAATCTGTTCACGATGGCCTTCCAGTGAATAGTTCATGTAGTGAAAACCAGTAGAAATCTTAAAAACAACAGGGCTATAGAAAGAACATCAAATCAAACTACCTGTAATATATTTGGAGATTTGAAGAATTTCAGTTTTCACATAAGATTTGTCCTTTCTGCCTTACCTTGGGGTCGGTTGTTTGTCCTTCGTTCTTGAAGAGGATCATGATATCATGACTTTCAAGTGAATTGGATTTAAGTGAGGGAAGGTTGTGCAAGGTCACCAGCCTCAGTTTCTCCTCTAGAGCCGTCTGGGTCCAATGGCCAGATACAAATCAGGATGACTCGAGATGGCCCTGGTTGCAGTGGGAGACTTTGCCTTTTTTTCACTTTAGGACGTATACATTGCAAGGACAATAATGCCATCTCTAAGCTAGAGGAAGTGTCTTAAAAAGTTGTAATTCAAAAGTTTCTTTACAATTGATTAAAGCATTTCTATATATGGAGCCTCAATCCAACTTGAGATTTTCTAAACAACTTAAACCATATCCAAAAACTACATGAATTTAGGCATTTGTATTGCTAAATATCTGTGGGTATTCAAATGGGCCCAAAAGAGAATACTTTGCTCCACCTTTTTCAGTCATGTTCTTTATTCCTCCAGGATCAAATTTAAAATATCTCATTTAGGATCATCATTTTTACTTAGCTTTTTGTTTTCACTGACACAATTTTTAAGGCTACTAAAAGAATTACAGTTATCAGGAATCTATGAAGTGTGTTCATTTACTTAATGAAAAACATTTGTTAGTCAATCACATCTATAAGCAGTCAAATCTTACTGTTTTTCTCATTATTTAATTGTAATTTTAATTATATTTATTTAATTCATTTTTCTTGTTTTTATTACATCTTATCATTATTATGTCCCCCATTTTGAGGATGTCTTTTATCTTCATGCCATTCAGAAAGATATGATACTATATGGATGTAATCTTATACATGAATACATAACTAATTAAACCAGTAAACAAGGAGATGCCAAGTCTAATCTAATTTTCTGTTGTTGCCTAGATTAGGAAGTTGAAATAAATAATATAAATTCAGAACAATAAAAATCAAAGCAATAGGGTCTTATATACTTGATCTCATCATAGTAACTTGCTGGTTGTAGCAATAAGATTCACTTATAAAACCTTCAAAATTCTTCTGCCATGGTCAGAGAAATGTGCTATGAGAGGAAAATGAGAGACATGGTTGTAAAAATATTAAGACTATAGAGACTGACCTATAGTAGGTATACTAAGAGAAAACTCCATTAGCTCTGTTTGATTTCAGGTATAAAACACAGATACTTTGTCTGAGATGGCCACTGATACAAAAGAGTTCCACATTATTTACAAGGTGTCAGCCAGGCTCAGAATCAACCAGGTGGGAAACTTTCCTGTTCAGAAAGGAAATAATATAGTAGGGAAACTGAGCTAAAACTTCCATCATTTTACTCTTTAAAAAAAAAAAACAACATCCTGATATAAAAATCAATTAAGTAGCTGGGTAGTACAGTGGATAGAGTACCTGGCCTGGTGTCAAGAAAACTTTTCTTCCTGAGTTCAAATCTGGCCTCAAACACTAGTTGCATGACCCTAGGCAGGTCACTTAACCCTTTTTACCTCAGTTTTCTCATCTGTGATATGAGTTAGAGAAGGAAATGACAAACCACTCCAGAATCTTTGCCAAGAAAACCCAAAATGGGGTCACAAAGTTACATGTGACTTAAAGCTACTGAATAACAAAAACAATGAACAAAAAACAAATTCACATTCTGGTGTTTGAATTAATGTGTGAGAACAAAACAAAACAAAAATGGCTACTATTGTAAATTAACCCTTAAAACAGAAAATCTTTTAAACTAGATTCTATCAATACCAAGTTTGCCCAAAGATGTGACTCAATATATATTATTCCAGGTGCAATTTCATAATTTTCATGATCAGAACTCAGACAATTCATATAAATCACCTCTGTATTATAAGCAGACTTAAAATGATCTCCCATTGGCTCTGAGTATGTTGAGAGACTGGCTTAATACTTTTTTTTCCCTTTTTTAAGGCAATTGAGGTTAAGTGCCTTGCCCCGGGTCACACAGCTAGTAAGTGTCAAGTGTTTGGTCTGAGGCCAGACTTGAACTCAGGTCCTCCTGACTTCTGGGCTGATACTCTATCCACTGAGCCATCTAGCTGTCCCTGGCTTAGTACTTCTACAATTATCTCTAATCTAGTGGTAGAATTCACAAAATACTGTTTACTTAAACTTTCTAAATAGTTCTCTCCCACCCCACTCCCATCTGGCAGGGACTCAGACAATAAGACTTCCCAAGGTAACAAATTTACTTTGGCAAACCAAAGCATGCGCAATTAAATATAAAAGACAGATTTTAACCAGTAGAGCACTCTGCAAAAGTCTCCAAAGAGTAGTAGTTCAAAGTTATAAAATAATAGGGTATATTACACAATGGTCTTCTAAAATTATCATCCAAAGAATTAGCATAATGCTGATATAAAATGATATAGATTCAAAGCATAGATCCAAAATAAAATTTATTGCTAGTCAGATAACATCAATCCAGTTGAATGCATTTCATAATTTACATGGATAAAAATTTACCAATTTTGAATTCCTACTACTTGTATTCAGAGATAGTATAGAGAAATTAAAATCAAAACTAACCTTTGGAGGAGGGAAGAAGCATGTCAAAACTTGACAAACTTTTGGGAATGGAAATTTCACCCTCCTATTATCTAAATGAGATCTAAAATTACCTTAAACTTTTCTGTATTTCTACTAAAACCTAGGATTTATTTTGGCCTGTACTATATATTTTGATAGCAGACAAAAATGAGAACTTCCTGTTGTCTCAGTTTGGATGAAAATCACTATTCTGTATTCTTTCCTTGACCAAAATTGAAAATTTCAAGGCATACAGTCATTTTCTCATCTTAATTTCTTGCAAATTCATAGCCTGTTCTACTTCGTATCAGCTTTTGGTGCTTTTGTTTCCTTAGAGCCACATTTTTGCCTTCCTTCTGCCTCTCCATAACAACAAATATTTATTGAGCTGCTATTTGTAAAGTATTGTTCCAGTCACTTAAATGATATAAAGGTAGTGTAAAACAGTCTCAAGCCACAGAATTACATTCTAATTTGAGAGAGATGGTGTACCTAGATAATAAATATTTCATTGCACAGATAAGTAATATAAGGCATCATACAATTAAACGGTAAAATGAATGAAAAAGCATGAAATACTTACTATGTACAAAGCACAATAGTAATACTAATTATATACTGTCTTTTATAAGAGTTCAGTAAAGAAGGAAATCAATGTGA